CTTCAGCAAAGGATTATGGGTAAATTATGACATCATATGATCTGTTGTCAGAAATTGAAAAAACGATTTGTGTATTCATGTTAAAGGGCGGTGGTCGTCGCGCAGCGCGTGTTGGAATTTCATTTAAATAAACAATGTATTTTACACGCGTTGTGTGTACGTCGCTATGAGTCTCATATCGAACAGGATGCGGCACGACGACTGCCGCCCTTTTATTAATATTTTGATTCACAACTTGAATTAGCGTAGTAATTCTATTAATCATTTTCCATTAAATTAAATGGACACAAAATAAATAACAATATTGGGTAAGCTTTGTGACCAGATGTGTGTTGTTATCGCGCGATGATATCGTCACGAAGTGCCAACGACCAACCGAGCACGACCGACGCGTGTACACAACAACACATACACTTGAGGGCAGCATGCATCACAGTATGCATCACATGAGTAAACAGAAATATCAACCAACCGGATCGGTACAAATGATTGGAATCAAAGAGAATGGTTCCCATGTACTTACATTATTTTAGCGGTATTAAATGTGGACTCCAAGGTCATGTGGATAGGTGGACACAATTTTAGGAGCTAAAGGGCGGTGCTCGTCGCGCCGCATCCTGTTAGATATGGGACTCGTAGCGACATACACAAATACATTGTTTGTTTATATGAAATTCGAAGACGCGCTGTGCGACGACCACCACCCTTTAATTTGTTTTCTAATTCCGATGAAATAACTCAAATTAATACGTTTTTTGTCATTTTTCTGAAACTTGCTGAAAGGAAAAAAATGCCTCGGGCGTTTTAATTCGAAATGTTATATCGGAGTTAAAAAAAGTTTTAAAATGGAAAATACGATATTCCCACTGATTCGTTCATTTATACTACTCAGGGATTATCCGATACTGTAAACCATTTATATTCACTGTTTTAATATTTCGAGAATTCTTCACTTAACTTTAATTTGCTAGTGAAACAATGTATCATGTTGTTAAATCACACCAGTGAAGATAACCCCATATAATATATAATAATTTAACTACGTCAAAGTATATGGACTATGGTCGAAGTCGATTCATTTTTGGATATTGTTGGTCGCTTATCACATTTGAGTTGCGGTTACGACTCGGAGGTTAGTTTCGGTTTCCACGCTCGAATGAACCAGACCAATCAAGTACTAGTAGAAATATGACAGTTAGTTAGCTGTAACATAAACCCCAGGGTTTATCGCTGCGTAATTACAGAAAAAAACACAAATACGAGTAGCAACGGACCATAAACACGGTTATAAACTAAGGAATTTTATTGGATACATAACATGACATACATTATGTGTATCTATTACAAATAAAATATCTATTACAAAAATAAAACCCCTCTGTTCTTATTTAATTTTGTATTTTGTAAATATTTGGCAAATGCAATACCACAAATGCATATTGTTATAAAGTTGCTTAGTCTTTTCTATTCTAGGTTGTTTTGATATCACATTCTTGAATTCCCTCACCCCCGACTACTTTTTCATTGCATTTTTGTTTACAAAGTCTAATCTAGTGAGTGGTATTCTTTTTCGAATTACCAATTAAATTCGATTTCTAAATTATGGTCACCGTGACTGATTCTAAACATTGTCACAATTCTCGTCATGTTTTATTTCATTTACTTTTTTTTTATTCCATTCCAAAGTCTGTTTTAAATAAATGGTACGTTCTTAAAAGGGCGGCAGTCGTCGTGCCGCGTCCTGTTCGATATGGGACTCATAGCGACGTATACAACGCGTGTAAAATACATTGTCTATTTATATGAAATTTGAACACGCGCTGCGCGACGACCACCGCGCTTTAACTTGTTTCCCACATTTTGATTAATTCTACTGAAATTTATTTGTTTCTTCCAGAACTGTTTTTACTCATTTGTTAATTTATGGCCCATAGTTTTTGAGAGTTTCCCAATAAATTTGTCAATATTTTTGAATATTTGAATGTTTTGACAGTTTGTTTAGTCTGCATCAATATTTCATTTGAGCTCTTTGTGCTTTTATTCTAATTGGGGTTCTACAATTTCACCACTCACGACAACATTTGGAGTTACTTTACACATAATATAATATAAAGCGACAGAATTAACTAAAAATATGCTAATTAAGTGCAGAATATAATATATATATATATAATCAGGGGTTAATGTTTCAAAAATCTGCTACTTGTGTGAATTAATTTACCTTGCATATTTTTACTTAATAGACCGATGAAACGCATACAATCCTTCCTGGACTAAAATTTAACAGATTTCTCATCGTTCGGAGAGTAAGACAGAGTTTTCGTTCTCGTCCACGGCTCAATACGAGTCTATTTGATACCGTGTCGGCGATACATCGTCCGTCACGTGTTACTGACGCAGTGGCGGCGGCACATGGGTCGGTCGCCCTTCCAAAATCAAGCTGAAACCCTTTGTGTCAACAAAATTTGCCTCTCAAAATGCAGGAAATAGCGTTTCAGAGGGAGGCTAGAATTTAAAACTGTTAAGGGGGTCCCCTAGTAAAGTCGCGCCTTCGGCGCAAGATTAGTGAGCAGACCCCCCCCCCCCCCTTCCATGCAAAATTTTGTGGCGCCGTCTCTGTGACGGTTGTGAAATGAATGATTGAACTAAACTGCCCCAAAACAGACTAAATAGGGAAAAACATTTCACGCAAGTGACTTCACACCCATGTGTAACGGAGATTACGTGGCACTGACATTTTATAATCATCATATCGATCGAAAGATCGCGAACCATGTTATTCTATTAGTAGAAATTATAAGGCA